TACTTGGGAATAGCTGCACAGCATTAAGAGTTTAACTCATTCAGAAAATGCCCACAGATATTAGACACAGAAATTTGGGGGGATCATGAACCTGTGTGTAACACTTACCTATTGGCGCATAACAAATTAACTCAACACTTAGTGGCTTAAAGTAACAAAAGTTTATTTTCTCACATAGTTTCAAGGTTCAGCAATTTGGGAGTAGTTTAGCTTGATGGTCCTTGCTCAGGGAATCTCATTAGGTCACCAGATTATCATATGAAGATACAAGATGTTCAACTAATTTAAATTTCAGATAAACAACAAATAATTTTTTGGTACAGATATGTCCCTTGCAATAATTGGGACATTTTGTTGTTGTTTGTTGTTACGTGCCGTTGAGGCGGACCCGACTCATAATGATCTCTCCTTGTGTTTCTGAGGCAGTATCGCTACGGAAGTAGATTGCCCCATCTTCCTTTGGAGGAGTGGCTGGTGGGTTTGAACTGCCAGCCTTCTGGTTAACAGTCAAGTGCCTTAGGCATACTAAATAATTATTCACTGTTTATCTGAAATTTAAATTTGTTGGAGTTCCTGTATTTTATCCTACAACTCTAAGTTTTAGTCAAGGTGTCAGCTGGGGCTTCAATCATCTCAAAACTCGTCGCTCACTTACATGCCTAGCAAGGTAGTGCTGCCTGCTAGTGGCAGGCATCAGTTCTTTTTTCCCCAGTGGATCTATCCATACAGCTGATTGAATGTCCTCACAACATGGAAGATGGGTTCCCACAAGTAAGTGATTCAAGAGAATACAGTATCTTTTCTGACCTTGCTTTGGAAGTCATACTTTGTGATTTCTGAAATATTGTATTGTAATGTTGTTGTTGTGTGCTGCCAATGTGATTCCAATCCATAATAACCCTGTTGGATAGAGTAGAACTGCCCTGCCCCATAAGTGTCCCTAGACTGAAATCTTTAAGGGGACCAGATTTCCAAGGCTTTTCTCCCTTGGAGTGGCTGGTGGGTTCAAACTGCCATCCTTTTGGTTAGCAGCTAAGTGCTTACCCATTGCATCATCAGGGATTCTTTTTGGTTGCACAGGTCAGCCTTATTTCATGTGGGAGATGATATTTACAGTGTACAATATTCAGGGATATGAATATCTAAAGGCAAGGATCATTGGCAGTCATCACAGGAGCTGGCTCCATACTCTGAAGGTTTTGTAGAAACAAAACATGTTCTCCCAAAGAGTTTAGGGATGAGGAGATTACAAAATAAGTAATAGGAATTTGCAGGGACATTGTAAAGGTCTACATCAATTTAATAATGTTGCTAATGAGAGATTATGATGGTGTTCTGTTAGTTGAGTGTCAGGTTTTTTGTTAGAAACTTTTTTACTGTGCATAATTTTGTGTGTTCAACCTTTCATGTAGACATTGTAAAGAAAAGTATAATGTGATTCAGGAGGTTAACACACACATACATGGATGAACACACACACGTGTGTGTGTGTGTGTGTGCGTGTACACACATACACTCAGAATTTAAGGGGAAGATTGCTCTGGGATAAAAATGGAAAGGAAGTCATGAGAATTAATAGAATGTCAGAAAGGGTCTTTTGTAGGAAAGTACCTGACATAGTATTCACACATAAATTATAGCCTGGGAGAGGAAAGACAGGTAAAGTTTACCACAGGACTATATTTTAGAAAGAGAAGAGTGTGGATAGTAATTAAAAACTGACAAAGAATTAGAGGAAAGGGCTATATATGAAAATCAGCAGTGACCTTCTTTTTAGTGGCAGCAAATTATTTCAAATTCTGTTACTTTTTCATATCTGTTGGAATTTAAACTTCCCAAGATAGGGGGCTATTAGAGACTGAATTGTGTCTCCCCAAAATGTTTTGTAAATCCTAAAATCTATTCCTGTAGATGTAATCTCATTTGGGAATATGGTTTTCTTTGTTATGTTAATGAGGCCATTATCAATGCAAGATGTGTCTTAACCTTAACCACTTTTGAGACATAAAAGGAACAGAGCAGGCACAGAAGCAAGCAAGCACAAATGGGATAATGGCAGCTGCCACATGGAGGTCACCAAGGAACCAGGGAAAAACAGAGTTACAGGAGCTGAGACAAGTATCCTCCCCTAGAGCCAACAGCGAGAAAGCCTTCCTCTAGAGCTGGTGTCCATAGGGCTTGGTTCCGGATGCTTACATTTACCTCTTGAGCTGTGAGAAAAGAAATTTCTGTCCTTTAAAACCATTCACTCACGGTATTTGTGTTACAGCAGCACTAGTTAACTGAGACCGAGACTAAGCCATCCAAAGGCACGTGTGGTCACTGCACCAATCGCAGGTTATACCTGAAGTGGATTGTGGGATTTATTTTTACTAACGGAAGCCACCAGGAAGATTTGGGAGAGTAAGGAATATACCCATCCTTTCAAGATCTCCATTCTAAGTGCCAACTCTTTCCTCAAGATGCTGCAAGTTTAGGAATTTTTGAATGAAGACACGTGTCAGTTTTAGAAAAAGCCTAGCAGTTTATTGCCTGATGATTTATGGAGGGATGTTTATTATGTTTATTTCTTTACACCTTCTCAGGAATGTCTGCAAGGCAGCTTCTGCTGCTCGCTGGACACTGATACAAGGGTCTTGCCGGAGTGATTGGAGCCCTGAAATGGAAAGAATAGCAAAATTCAATCAGAGTTCAGCAGGAAAAGCAATGCAACTCAAAGCCCAATCTACATACATAGTACTGCATGATTCACCATTGAGGATCAGCCCACGGGAGGCTCAGTCCCTGATGCTCATATTTATCCTAAAAAGTAGAGTTTGGAGTCATTGATTGAGAAATCAAATTAATCTTGAAATAAGGGAACAGAAGATCCTGATCTTGTGATCAGTAGATTTATAGACATTTAGAAAATCATTGTTTGCTGGGAATGATGCTTACAAAGGGGAGGGCCTTAGACTCTGGAGAAATCCCACTGTCCAGGAAATATTAGAGACAATAATCAAATACTAAGACTTTCAATTTCTGGGCTAACATGGAACTGGGAGCAGAAATAATTTCTCTTTCTCTAAGAATATAACAATAAACTGGACAGACAAAAATGAGGATTGGCACTCACGTGTGGTCAGCTGTTCTTTGTCTAATAACTCCACATACTGGCTGGTCAAATTGAGAACAATGGAATCTAAAGAACAGGAGGAAAAAAAAAAAATAGCAGAAAACCAAAAACAAAACTCATTTTCATCAAGTGGATTCTGATTCATAGTGACCTCCATAGAGTTTCCAAGGTTATAAATCTATACAGAAGCAGATTGCCTCAACATTCTCCTACAGAGCAGCTGGTGAGTTTGAACCACTGACATTCTGGTTAGCAGCCCAATGCCTTAACCACAGCACCACCACATCTCCTTATATTATAGGGGAAGACACCATGAAAGGTCTGACTCTGCATCAGATCAGAAGGAAGATTTAGTAGATTACTAAATGAGGAAACAACTTCCTTCAAGGATGGTGTGATGGTGACCTCTAAGGGTCTTGAGTGCCATGTCTGGAAGTGGTTACTCACTTACCCAAGGTGTATTGAAAGCTCATACAATGTTCTCCTAGGAGACGCTAATTGTTCTTAGGGTTTCAAGGGAGTATAAGCTTTAGTGTAGTCCCTTTCTTCAAAAAGTGTGCAGAGCTTGTCCAGTAAGAAATCCTTAGATTTTTAACACAGTCCTGAAGATGGTCAAGCAAGTGGGCTTGTTTACAGTGCCCAGATTAGTTGAAACAGTCTTTGTGATAAAAAATTAGAATTTCATGATAGAAGTAACCTCAGAGACTCCCTTATTTTTCTCTTTTATTTTATAGATGGACAGAGAGGTAACATGGAGAAGTTAAATACATTGTCCAGAATCACATAGCAGAGCCAAGTTCTGCTGGTCCCCACATCAGCATGCTTTCCACCCGTATCATAGTGCTGCTGAAGCTCATAGCTTGAATTCAGTTTTGAAGACTGAGTATGGTTTCTATAAAGGGATGGGGAGAAGGAAAACATTTGGGCAGGGGCAGCAGGCTTGTAATGAAGACTTGGAGACTTAAGGATCTTGGAGGGCCTATTAAGGAGAATGAATGGATTGGAGGAGAGTAAGTGTTGGGAAGTCAAAGAGGTTATACATTTTCATTTTGCAAAGAAAATAGGTTCCATTGAAGAAAGATGATGTGAGCCATAAAATGAATCCCTTGTTGGCCTTCTTTTAATTTTGTCTGTGTCTTACCAGTGTTTGCAGCAGGGGAGCTTCCAGTCAAAGCCTAGATTTAGATGGGAAAGAGAGGACATAACGGAGTAGGGAATGTGGATGTGACCGCACCTGTGAGCTTGACAACTGCACTCCTGATTGTCTCCCAGCTGCTGTTGAAGAAGGTGAATGAATGTGTGTGGAGGATCCACAGAATTTCCTGGTTTTTCTTTGCCTGGAAGAGATGTGTATTATAAAGAGGGCAACTGGGAAGTGGCCTATTATGAAATCCAGCATCCTATAGGGCCCTCAGAAGAGCTCTAAAGGTTATTGAACACTCACACAGCCATGAATTATTTTGTTGAGAGTTATCTTGCAGATATTAGTCATTTAATCAATGTTCTAAATTTAAGTAGGAAGACACTGAGACTTAAGGGACTAATCATGAGTTTTAGAAGCCTATGAGACCAGATGCCAGGACTTAAGAGAGGAGTAGAGGGTAATGTGGCAGAATATCAGGAATCATTGCTATTCCTCGAAGACATTTTTAGTTCCATACAGAGATTTCCTGTTACACAGTTTGCCCTACTGGATTTTGACTGGACCCCGTCCTTCCTTTCTTTGAGGCAGCATCCATTTTACACTCACCAGTTTTACACAGAATTGCCTGTAGAAGTCCCTGACCCTTGGCAGATCCTGGCCATCAAGGAGATGGTCTAATACTCCATAGAGTTCCTGGAGGCCCAGAAAGGGAATGCAGATGATTAAGACGTCACGGCATGCCTAGAAAACAAGAGTTTTCTGCATCACTATCCACAGTGCTTGGATACCCATTCCAGAAGAGAAGAGATGCTGATTAGTACTGGAAAACAGAAGTGGTAACAGTTAGTAGCCTGAAGGACCTTATGACTATTCTTGACACCTTTTCAGATTCAAGAATGGAAGAGCAAGCCTGGGAAGAGATGAACCCAGAGTTGGAAGAAGATATTTACAGGTTCAATTCAGAGTGGTTAATAACTCAGATATGGTTTCTCAGTTCAGCTCAGTAGGGCTTGCTAACACTTCTCAGCTATAGGGCAGAGAAGGAGTGGCAGCTGTCTGTGCTGTGCCACTTACAGCTCCAATCTTGGAGTTGGGATCCCAGAGGTGGAGAAGGAATGAAATCATGCTCTTTTTAATTTCTTCAGCAAAAAAAATCTTCCACCGTCTTCCGGTTAGTGATGCCAGATTCTCAAATAGGCTGATGGCAGTCAGCCTCACATCGTCTTGCTCCTGTGGCAACAGAGGCATCTCATGGGTGAGTGTCCCTTCACCAGCCACTCCCTGCCTGTCTTCCCTGCCTCCCCCCTCACTTCAGCAAAGCGAAGCTGGAACTGCGACATGAGTGCAATCTTGTCACAGATCACATCCAATAACTCACTTCCTTTTCTAGAAATTCTCTTCCCAAACTGCTCCAAGTTTAAGCAACCACAGGCCTGAGGTCTAAGTTTTAAGATCCATTTGGAGACTTAATTTATGCCCTTGAGCAGCTAGTGAGGAAGTGTGATCATAAGAATGGTAAACAGGGGGTGTTGGCAACAGCAGGCCAGGGAGGGCTCCTGCGTATATAGTACTTTACACAAATTAGCCTGGTTGCATCATTATTCTTGAGTTTGGCGTTTGTTACATTGCCAATACCTATCTATCTGTCAGTTTATTTTATTATGGCAGCTTGTGTTGTTGCTATATGTTGGGAGCTATACCACTGATATTTCAGATACCAGCATAGTCACCCATGGTGGGCAGATTTCAACAGAGTTTGCAGCCTAAGATGAGGAAGAAAGGCCTGGAGATCTACTTAAAAAAAAATAGCCAACAAAGACTCTATGGATCATAAAAGTGTACTGTCCAATACAGCACTGGAAGATGAGCCTTCTAAGTTGGAAGGCATTTAAGTTACACAGTGGCTGCAACAATAGATTCAAGCATACTAATGATTGTGAAAACAAGTGGTCACACAAATCAGAGTGGACTTGATGGCAACTAATAACAACAAATCTAAATTGCCCAAGATCTGGGATTCTTCTCCAAGATCCCAAATACTTTCTAAATGGTCTTCAGGCAGCTCAGGAATTTAGATCTCAGAAAGAGACAAGTGTCTAGCCCTACTCTGGGGTACAAGAAGTCACAGCAATTCTTTGCTTTTTGCCCAGGATGGTCAGTCTAGATTTTAAGAACCAAAAGGTAAGGTTGTAGAGGAAGATGGACTTCTATTTTCTCAGATGTTTTGCTAGTTCAGAGTTGCAACAAAGGAAGGAAATGAAGTTAGATAAAATTTCTGGAAGTTTTCCCCACCAAGACCTATAAAGTATTTGTAAGAAGGCAAAAGGACAAGGGAAAAGTGGTTCTGAGTAGGACAACACTAGATAAGCAATAAATAAGGGCCAACAAAAAGCACTCCAATAAATACAAGGAGGGAGAAGACAAAGGAGTAAATTTTGAGGGTAAAATAAAGTGCATAGAAAGTGGTACATAAATAAAAATACCACGAAAGAGGGGCTTAGTACCTTCCAGAAGAAATAAAGATGGCTTGTTAGGAAAGGGCCAAAAAAACCGAAATGAATTAAGGAAATGTGACTTCTTATAAGGGAAATGGAAGTAGAAATACATTCTTCAAATATACTTGGTATAAAACCAAAAACAACCAAACTCACTGCTATTGTGTGAATTCCGACTCTTAGCAACCCCCTTTGGGTTTCCAAGGCAGTAAATCTTTATGGAAGCAGATTGTCCAGTCTTCCTTCTGTGGAGTGGCTGGTGGGTTGGAACCATCAACCTTCTATTTAGCAGTCAGATACCTTAGGAACTGTAGTACCAAAGCTCCTTATACTTGGAATAAGATTAGGATATGATTTTTAAAAGTTCTCTTTTTGCAAAAGGAAAGAATACCAATAGCAAAATACCTAAAAGTTAGATGGAGATACTTAGCTTTTTTTTAAAAAAATCTTTTAAATTTTCACAAATCAATGAACTAAAGGAAGCCTCAACCAACTGACACTGTAGGAAAGCAGAAAAAAAACATTTCAAATAGTTGAAATACTCAACTATTTGAAATAAATGAAAGAAAAAAGCTGGATATTACAGATTATTTTGCATAACCCATAGAAAAATATAGGGAGAAAGTATTATATAATATAATTAAATATATTTACAGAAAGATAGCATTACTGGAGAATAAATAACATGTCATTTCTCAGACCCAAGGTTTGTCAAACTTTCTTTCTATGTCAGCATGATGGAGCTTTTGGGAATGAGAAATGTCTGTTCTATTCTAACCAGTAAGACTTCAGTTTTTCCCCCAGCAATAACACCGAGAAACATTATCTTGGCCACACTATTCTTAGGTCAACTGTAATTTACTAGAGACTCAGATCCAAGAGAATTACATTGGGTCAAGAACAACCCAGGGAAACCAAACTGTTAAATTCTGTAAGGGTGACTTCAGCCCTTTGCTTTTAAAGACTGTCATCGTTTACCCGTTATAATGAAAAAACAAAACATATTTTTTGCTTTTGTAGATGATAAATTGGGAAGGAGCCCACAAGCATTTTTCAGAATAAGATGAGAATTAAAAGTGGTGGTGACTGATTAGAGACCGTGGTTGGACACAAGCAGAAAGTTGCTTTCAAAGGCCAGGATTAGACTGGCTCATGAACAAAAGAAACTGTGAAAATGCAAACCTGGAGAAGTACTGACTCTTGCTGCCAAGTTGATTCTGACTCATGGCAACCCATGTGTTGCAGAGTGGAACTGTCTCCACAGGGTTGTCTTGGCTGTACTCTAGACAGAAGCAGATCACCAGGTGATCTTGCACTCATGGCAAGATCAGCACTGCTGGGTGGTCTGAACAGCCAATCTTTTGGTTAGTAGCTGAGAGTGAACTGTTTGCATCACCCTGGGAATTACAGTACAACCTAAAATCTAGAGTTCAAAATAAATTGTCAGGAAGAAAGAGTTAAAATAAATAAATAAATAAAGCAACAAATAAATTGGAGTGAATAAATAGATAAAGGTTGGAACTGGAGGTAACTATTCTTTCTATTCTATTGAATAGTACCCAGACCTTATTTAAAGGTTCAAATTAGTCTGTGGCCTGTAAAATATTTTCAGAACTGAAAAATAGGTTTATGGGAATAATGAAGGAAATGAAGACTTCTCAGTCTGGAAACTACAAGGTAAATAGGTAATTGAATATAACCTTAATGATTATGAAGGATGCACTGTAAAGGGTAATCAGCAGTTTTCTGTCTCCTGAGACAACCAAACATAAAAAAACAAGTTTAATAGATTTCAATTAGACATGAAAGGAAATTTCACACTGATGGTAGCGAATAAACCAGAAATAAGAAAATCTAGTTTCCTGGAAGGTATAAAGGAAAATGACCCTCCTCTTCTTAGGATTGCTCGATTATATATATATATAAACAACATGTTGTTTTCGTTATATGCTGTCAAGTTGGATCTGACTCATAGCGACCCCTCCTTGGGTTTCTGAGACAGTATCACTACGGAATAGATTGCCCCATCTTCCTTCTGAGGAGTGGCTGGTGGGTTTGAACTGCCAGCCTTCTGGTTAGCAGTCAAGCGCCTTAGGCACTATGCCATCAGAGCTCCCACATGACTGGGTCCCTATAAACTTTATTTACAAATAAAGGCTGTGGGCCAGATTTGGCTCTTGGATTGTAGTTTGCTGATCTGAACTAAATGAATAGCATCAGCATTTTGAGTCTTTGAATCTTGGAAGTGGAAAAGAGAGTTGGAGGAAACACAATCTTTAGTCAGGCCCCTGTCCTGCGTTGAGTACTGTCATAATTTGTGTTTCTCACAAAGCAAACCCTGAGATAAGGATTTAGGTGCAAGTAGTATATTTGGGAAGTGAGACCAGAAAGCATGCCAGGGGAGTAGGAAAGAGATGGGGAAAGGAGGAAAGCTAAGGAAGGGAATTTTAATGAATGAGTTACCTTTTGGGTAAGTGGAACTCAATTCTGAGGGTTGAGGAAGCATAGGAATCTATCAACAAACCCTTGTTCCTCCTTGCTTCCTCAGGGCTTCCCAGGGCATTTCCTTCCCAGTTCTTCTAGCCCATCAAGCTCGGACCAATCATGATCCCAAGGCTTCAGAGCTCCCTCAGCAGGCAGAGAGACAAAGAAAGCCAGCAGATTGTGCAAAAATTGTCTGCAGGTGACATCTGGAGCTGGCCAAGGAATATGGATGGGACCCTGGTATTGTCTGCTAAAACCACTGTCTTGAACCTCTTTCTGTTCATTCACCTTTTCTGGGGGGTGGGGTGGGGAGAGGGAAGATTCCTAAATGAGCTCACTTACGTCTTCAAAGAAGGTTCTTGTTTGCAGGACTATCTCTTTGAAGTAGAAGCTCACGTCCCGGTCTGTAAGCAGCTCCAGAATCTTTTTTAGAGCCTTCAAGCTTTCACAGACGACTTCGGTGCGGGCCAGGTGATACAGGCCTCTGATGATAGATTCTAACATTATCTGCTTATGTTTCTTCACCTATTTTGAAAGAAGTTATCTTAATCTCCAAAGCTGTTCTAATGTGATCTGGTATAGGGTGGGAGTTCCCAAATCAGGTGATAGAAATTCTGTGAGGGTCACTGGTACTTCAGCCCAAGAGCCACCACTTCAGCAATTTATTTGCATTTTCACTTAATCTCTATGCAACTATTATGTGTGGTTTAGTAAATAATTATTTCAAAGCTCTACTTAAATTAACTATTTTCCTGAGAACTCCTTTTACCTTGTGAGGGGCTCCCAAAGCTGTATTACCAAGGCCTCGGATGGCCATTTGCCTCAGGGTGGCATTGGAGTCCCAGGCACTTTGATCCATTAAGATGAGCACATCACGTAGATTGCCATGCTTCCAAAGGATGGGCTCCTTCATAAGCTGAAATCAACACACTCCTCCCCCTTAGATAAGGGAGTGGCCTCCCTTCAGGAGAATGCCAAAAGAATCAATAACTACAATTAAAGAACAGGGAAGGAAGCCCTCAGATGAATTAGCAAGTCAAGCAGAAGCTAAACTCTAGATGTGAGCAGTCCACAGCTTGAGGTTATATGGGGATGCAAACCACAACATCTAGATAAGAGGATGTTTCTAGTCCAAATCAGAAGATGGGATAAGGAAAATAGAATCACTGATTATGTTCCTTCTCTGGGCTGAGATAATCTTTATCCCAGAGTTTGAAGGGCCAATAATACGCTTGTTAGTCACTCTTTGCTTTTCCTTTCCTAGATTTATTCTCTCCTCTTTTCTGTTCTAGAAAGTTGATTTTGGCAGATGAGGCAGGAAGAGATTTAGGGTGGGCTCTCCTTCCTCTCTCTCCCTGATTAGGTGCTGTATCTCTGGTAGCAGCTGGTTCCCTCTACTACTAAATCTCCCTATGAAGACCCCTCTTTGATCACTCTAGTTCAAAGAACTCTAGATCCTAAGAGAACTACACTAATGTGATCGAGAGAGCCTGCTATGATGGCTGCTGTTCCTTGCCTCAGAGAAGAATGCAGTGCCAGTTATTCGGTAGTTCTCCGAGGAAGAGGTGAGAGACAGGAGCAGGAGATCCATGATGTCCAGTATGACTCCATGTTGCCACATTGCCATGCTCCTAGAAAACAAAAGGCTCCAATTTTAGCAGAGACTTTTTTTTTTTTTTTTAAACATTGGAAGGAATTCTAGTTTATTTATCCACTAGGCAAATAAATGACCCAAAAAGGAATGCTCAAAGAAAGAGCACCCAGGTTTAAACTTTAACATTGCCTATCCAATCACTTGTACTTCTTTTTAGTTTTGGGGGTCATGAGCTTTGGGCTGACTTTTTCAACTATTCCCACCCCTCCTTGCTCTCATTGTTCTTTCTCCCCTATTTGTTCTCCTTTAACTATGTCTCAGGAGAGTCAATTACTCTCAGTGAAGTTGTCTGTATTGGATTTTTACTCTGTTTTTGTTTTTTCTCCTCTGTATCTGGTTCTAGAATATTTGCCTATTACCTCGCCAGTGCACATATTCCTATGTGGTGGGTACCAGGACTGCTGAGGAGAGACCATAGGTTGTCCCCTTCATCAGATTCTTTTGCAAGGCCTTCTTTCATGGCTTGGACTTGCACACCTTTCAGAGTTATGGTTGAGAGCCTGAAGGAGACAGTCAGCACCACAAAAGTCAGTCCACTCATACTGGAAATTATGAGCTCTCCAGTTCATTCTTCATGCTCCCCACAATGTTCCCCATCTCTGAATTGATGGATGCTATGCAAGAAAGGATATTGGCAACCTGACTCTCAAACCTTTGTTTTGGGGCCATAG